CGCTGGTTGTGTCCGGATTTGTTGCTGGTTGTTGTCGGTTGATATATATATATATATATATATATATATATATATATATATATATATATTTTTTTTTTTTTTTTTTTTTTTTTTTTTTTTGTTTCATCCTTTTCTCCTAAATATATATATAAATATATATATATATATTTATATACTATCATTAATTAATCATACTTTTTTTTTTATTTATCTGCACTTGCGTTCTTCTTTCTTCTCTCTTCGTTTTTTTTTTTCTTCTTCCTCTTATTTATTCATTAATGAAAAACTCCTACTATAATGATAACCGATGCCACGGGGTTTCGTTAACACTAAAAAAAAACCTCTTTGTGCGCCTCTTTGTTTGCGCGTGCACACGAACCACCCCGGGACCAACATATGTACAACATTATTAGTTTTTTCTTTTTTCCTTTTCTATTTTTTTATTATTTTACTCGCTGTATATATTCCCACCTCTTTATCTCTCTCTCTCTCACTCTCTCTCCCTATTTGTATAATATTCTCTCCAACTTTTCCATTCTCTCCTTCTTTCACACACTTTTTTTTCTTGCCCCTGTCTTTCATTGTCACCTTCTTCGTTCCCTTCTCTTCTTTTTTCTGGTGTTCTACGACCCCATTCTCACATGTTCTCCATTTCGTGTCTATTTTCCACTATTTATAATTCTGTCAAACATCCCTCCCCTTCCTTCTTGTCAACTAGCTTCCAGTTTTACTCAATGATCGTCTGTGAACCCCTGTATCATCCGCTGGTTGTGTCCGGATTTGTTGCTGGTTGTTGTCGGTTGATATATATATATATATATATATATATACATATATATATATATATATTTTTTTTTTATTTTGTCCCCTTGGTTATTTGTGAATTTGTTTCATGCAGGAGTATACGGGCTTCTGCTAGATCTACCTTACAGAAGTAGGCACAGCGATTTCTTTTTCTGCTTCATCTTCTTCTCTGGCGACTTTTTGTTGATTTGTCGCACCAGGTCGTAGAAGATCTGTAACAGAAACAGAATCGGTATCAGTTGATGAATCTTGTCACGGGAGATTCTGAATTGCCACGGCAACAGTACGACAAAAATTATTAAAAGCGACAGCGCTTAGTTCCTAAATTTAGAAGCTCAGAGATTTTAAAAGACCTGGATTCAGAAATTTCAAATTTCCAAATTTTAAGAAACTCCTGATCTCTAAATATAGGAACAAAAACTAAGAACTTTGAGAAATCCACAAATTCCAAAAATTTAGATTTCTCAAAATTGTGATTCTAAAAATTGTCTGTAGTTAAATTCTGTAAGCTAGAACAAATTACACTCTGCAAGGTGATATGGGGGGGAAAAAATACCTCTATTTAATTCGTCACGGGGAAGGAAAGCAATTTGAAAGTAAAAAAGAAGAGAGGAATCCTTATAGCCAGCAACTCAAAGAAGTTAAAGTTTCATACATCTCCGAGGGAAGGAAAAGGAGAACTGGCACATGTACAAATGAGATTTCTCCAAAGCAATTATTTCGCAGAAAGTATTTGTATTACCGCTTTACAACTCGCTAAAGTCGCTATCTGCTAATGAGGTAAAAATAATCTCCATTTTAGCTGTGATAGTACAAAAAGTTAGCCGTTTCCATGGAAGAAGAACTTTTACTCCTACTTAAGCTGAAGTTGTAAGTCTAATTGGTGGCCGGAGTAAAATGAAAACGCTTCAAGCGTGCCTAGGTGTGGAGGAAGTTCGTACAGAGAAAAAAATTCTCTAAGTCGATACAGATACGTGTAAATAAAACATTTATTTAAAATAATCAGCAAGAGTTTCAATTGGTCCCTTGGACAAATGTTACACTCTTTCAAACTCTATCTTCAATCTCACCTTCACCCTGCCGTTTAATCATTTATTTCACGCTTTAAGAACGAAACCGCGTACAAAATGTTTTGAATTCAAACAGAAGAATCAAGAGAATCCGAGGCTTCAATTATACAAACGAATTGCAGTGCACGACCAACGAAATAACAAAAGTAATCAAAGCACAGGAAGAGAAATGAATCCTCCGAGGAGAAGTTATTCAGAACTAGCTGAAATCTTTAGAAACCTGTCTCAACGGAGACAAGCCTTACAAGAGACGAAGGGAGGACGTGTCTGCCGAGAAAAATAATCATTATTGTTGCTAAAGGTCTGCGTTCCCGACTCCTGTGTCATGGAGTGTTCTAAAGCAATTCCATGCAATTCTTCAATAAAATTTCAATTAAATATAATAAATTCAATTAATATACAGTATAGATTATACATTAGAATTAACTCATTGAGGATGAACGTTGTTGTAACGTAAAATGTTATTTGCAATTCTATTAAGCATTAATTAGGGGAATTCCAAAATAGAAGCTTCTTGAAATTCATTCAAACAGTAACTTATTTATAGATTAATATTTATGATAGTATCCTATTCATTCATAACAACATCTCACAGTTACAAAGGAAGAAGTATTAAAATAGTTCCAATCTGAGACCTTGGCATCCTTCTGAGATTCAAAAAAAGCCTTATCTCTCTCTGTGTCTTCTCAAATTTCTACTTTGGTATTGGAAGCTTGTCTACAGATGTATTTTCAAGCCTGATTAGGTTTATGATCTATGTCATTCGTAAAAAAATGTCAGTAACTACAAAAGTCTAAGTAGCTAATTTCTTAAAATAAATTTTCTTATACTAGTGGGTGGTTCATTTACTGCAAGATTGGAGACAAATCAGAAAGCTATTATAAATATTATATTATTGTACATTATTAGACTATTACAACAATTATACAAATAACTTTTCTATTAAGATCTTCAAAAAATGATATATATAAGGCAAGTCATATCATTTATGTTTTTTTTAATAACGTTACGTTCACGCAATTTCTATACCTCATTTCATTGTTAGTGCTTTAATGGGTTAATTAGAGTATATGATGGAAATAGACGAGTTCAAACGATTCTTGCGATCTTTATTCTTTTTCTTTTCTTCGTTTCAAGGATAGTCGTGAACTGCAAGTCACACCATACAGACTGTGGTGAACAACAACAAGGTGCAAATCATACTCCCACACCTAGGCGATTACATTCCCACATTCAATTATCAGAATATCTCAGCCTTCGTAACGGTCTTGAACTCCCACACTAGTTGTACTTAATTAAAAACCAACAATAGCCTCTTCACTCTGGCAACTACTGTTATTTTATAACAGCGCGTCTATTTTTCTTCCCTGCCCCCTCTTTTTATTCTCTTTTCACTAGAATCTAGAACTTGTACAACTCAACGTGCATTACGCAGATTCTATTCGGCTATAATTCATTCACAATCTACATTACGTTCCATGCCATGTGGGTCACTCTAAAATAAATATTTAGCAAAAATAAAATTTCCACTTTTTGACTGATGTAAGTTAAAATGAGACAGATCAAACATACAGTAAATGCAAAAAAGAAAAGGGACCCGACCAACAATTTCTGTTCAATGAAATATTTTAATATAATTTAATATAATTACAAAAATCAAATTTCATCTCTTGCCTTATAATATCCAGTTACACTTATAGTATGGACAACAAAGGAGAGATATAGTTGTCTCAAAGTTTAATTTTAACCCTGATTTTAGTTTCATATTTCAAAGCTATTGATTACTGAATACAAATTATGCCACAATCATGATATTTTATATTACTATTATCCTATGTTTTACATACACAATAGCATTTTATATTACTACTATGATATTAACTGTTAAACAGACAACTTAAATATTTCGTCTAGCAAACATCTTAAGAAATGTAATCAGAAATCAGAAGAAATTTGTAAAGCAAGAACTTAATGTTCTTTTGTCCAACAAAAGACATCAGATATAATAGCTGTACATTATGAGGAACAAATTGTATATAAAGATCCACGGTCTACCAATAGCATTCGTCAATAATACCCGTGGGACAGTAGGTAAGGTAAAAGAAGCTGAGCGCATTGAGGTTGACCCGTTAAAAACCTACTACTCACATCGTTAACATTAATTTTGGCTTTGGCAGAGGTCTCCATGAACGCACAGTTAAATTGCCGGGCAAGGTTGACGCCCTGGTCTTTGCCCACTACCCTCTCGTCCTCCAAGTCACACTTGTTGCCAACCAGCACCATCGGTACGTCATCTGTGTCCTTCACCCGCAAGATCTGTTCCCTGAGGTCCTGCAGGTCGTTGAACGTCGACTGTGCCGTTATCGAGTATACTAACACGAATCCCTGGCCATTTTTCATGTAAAGGTCCCTCATGGCTGTGAATTGTTCCTGCGGAAAGAAGAGTGCTCTGTTAATTTATGGTCCTTTTTTCTCAGAACAGGCCAAGCGTTATCGTCCCTAAATTGCAATTTCAAACAAGTCTTTCTCCTTTTTTTTTTTAAAGATAGGAAGGAGGGTAAGAAGATTATTAATTCTCTTGGGAGAATTAATTGAGAAGAAATAGCGTTAACTGGCAATTGATCTAGGGTCATTTTGGCTCGAATAGTAGTTCTTGCAAAGTACTGCAGGTTTAATAATTGATTGTAAAAATTGGTCCAGTCAATAAAATTAAATTACAATAGAATCAACAAAAAGGAATCTTAAAAATTCTTGTTCTTTTTATACATGTTTCAATGATTCTCAAACTATACGTAAGAGACAAAAAGCCATTTAAAAAAAAAAAAATTAGTCTGAAATCTTGTTCTTTAACAAACGGTACAAGTGAAATAATGAGCTGAAATAGCACAGCAAGGAAGAGGAGATGTAATATGTACTCGTAGTAAAGTTTTAAAAGAAACTAAAGAAAAAAAAAAAGAAAAAAAAGAAAGGGAACTCACCGTTCCGGCTGTGTCTAGGATTTCTAACATACATTGTTGACCGTCGACCTCGACCTGTTTGCGGTAGCTGTCCTCGATCGTTGGATCGTACTTCTCCACGAAGATTCCTTGCACGAACTGGACAGTGAGGGCGGACTTGCCTACACCTCCACTGCCCAACACCACTATTTTATATTCACGCATTTCCTTGCCCTAATTCTTTGTGCGCCTCTGGTCACAGCCGAGGGGTCACCGAATCCGCCACGTTTTGCTCCTCTTTGCTCTCAGTTAAACCAGACCTGCTGATGACAAAAGCCCACTTTTACTACTCTTTTCTCTTTCACCCTCGTGATCTGTTTCTTTTTTCTCAGGTTTCTTAAATCTAGCGTTTATCATAAATGTAAATTATCCTCTCCGCCTTTTCTCCTCTAATTTTTAATTCTGGCACGACCTCGCTCTTCTTCATTCCTTCGCTTTGGCTCAACATTTGCCAAAAATGAAAATTTCTAAATGAAATTTCTTTTCCCCACTTTCGATAATACAAATTCTCAAACGGACTAACGTGAAAAAGTAATTTTCGTAAAATTAAGGAAAGCGTGGAGCTTGAAGTGAAAATGAAATATTCTCGAAACGCTTAAGCCTGAAGTCTACTCGAAATCTACTCCGAATTATTAAAATCACCAATTAAAAAATGCCGTTCTTTTATTAAATAAATATCTTCTCGGTCTTTCTTTCGGTGCATTATTCAATTATTAACAGCAAGAGAAAAAAATATTTTACAATAAGAAAGAAAAAAAAAGATAAATCTAGGTCAACTAGGTCTATAAAGCATTTCAAATTCCTGCACGAGACGTAAGATTTCACATGGACGGAATTACGAAATTTCATTCATGACGGATGATGGGTAAAGCAGAGAGACAGAAAGAGAGGGAAGACGAGCGGAGCGAGTGAGAGAAAGGGGTGAAAAAGTGAATAGAGAATGCCGCGTGCTTTTTCCACGATTCCATTGTCTTCGCTTCGAAAACTTTTTCCTGGACCTTTGTTTGTAAATGAAGGATGGCCTGGCCCCGAGGGTTCACCCACTTTTTTCACAGAGCCGCGCGGAACAATATAACGTCGCATTTCCGGTTTCCCCTTCCTACACTGAATGGTAATAGTTATTGTAAATCACTCCAGAATTAATTCTCTTCCTTTTTCTTCGGTTTTTTCCCCCCACCTCTAGCGACATTAATAAGAATCGCGATCGTTTCTATCTTTCCGTATTCCTCAAAATTCGTACATTCTAAAATTGCAAAATACCAATATTACCATCTTCTTACTGTAAACCATTAATTTCATATACATTTTCAGTATACCATCGATTCAAAAAATGTAACTAAATCCACCAAATTTTAGTAATATCCCAATTTTATATTTGGGGTGATTCAAATCTCGCGCCCCCAATCCTCTCGTTTCCGATTGCCAGCGAGCCGTCGGAAGTGAGCTCTATAATTGTCGATTAATCTCACTCGTAATCGAGTAATCGTCCAACCTGTCGATCGATACAGCGATCAAAGAACGAATAGTGCCCTAACCTAAAAAAGAGAACAACGAGAGTTACGAAGTGAAATCGGAGAATCACGTGGCTTGAAAGCATTTAATACGATTCGATCGAACAGATTCACAGGATGGGATTCACAGTGTAGAGGTTGGTTGTCCGCCTTTCAAAGTTCCTTCGGTTCGTCGTTTAACTAGCGCACTGCGCCTGCCTGGTGCACGCAATGCGCCATTAGTCTTAAAAACTAGACAAACTCGCCGGATTGCGGCACTAGGAACTCGCCATAATGAGAATTGGAACGCGTTTCATACTCTGTCTTGGAAACGAGGGTTTCTTTCTTTCTTTCTTTCTTTCTTTTTTTTTTTTTTCCGTTTCGTTGAAACGATTCTCGTGGAAACCGTGTCGGCTCTTTGCAAACTCAGACACAGTGTCGATGTTTGGGTTGGCTTTGCAACGACTTAGGTTAGGTCTGCTCCTCGGCAACGTGAATTACGCTGGATGTTTGGGTTAGCTTCGAATTGACTTAGATTAATTCCGGATTAGGCTTTAATTAACTTAGATCGGGATTACGCTGACTTAGACGAGATTTCGATCAAGCTCGTTGTTAGACCGGTTTTGTGGATCGAAAGCTGGATCGAAAACGGTGAAAAGTAACTAGACAACGAATGAAACGTAAGAACCTCTGAAATTAAAGCGAAAGAAACAAAGATCGAGCAAAGAAAGAACCAACTGAAATAAGTGAAAATGAGCAAAGTACGAAAACGAGAGAATTGAGGAGGGATCCGAGATGATGTAACCGAATCTAGGGGAAATCGCGCAGAGGGAAAATTAGGGGAAAATGCACGCTTTAGACTCGAGGGGGGAAAAAAGAAAAGAAGAATGCTTGTAAAACACTAAACGGGAGTGAAAGGAAAGAGAGGAAGAAGCGAGTCAAGGAGATAGGAGAACAAAAGGGGAGAGGAGAGACAAAGAAGCCGGGAAAAAGAGAAATGGAGAGAGAGGGAGATAGTCGGCCACGAGTGTACAAGCTGTGGAAAACGAGGCGAACGCGCGGATTGGCCAACGATGCCATCATGGCGACAGTGCATGTCCAATCGCAGGCCACGAATTTCTTTCTACCAATCCGTCATTGATTTTAGGTTTATGAATGGGACTCGCTTACGCTACCCGCGTCACTTTCAAGATACTACGAGTTTCGCGAACAGCATCTCTACTTCAAGAGAATCCGTTACGCTCGATCGACATGCACGTTCTTCTGTTTAAAAAATATCACAATGCGGATGTTCATGTGTCAATTCAAAAGTCTCCTATGCTAAAAACGAGAATGAGGTTAGTTTTGTTTACTTTAATCATGATTTATTCTTTAATAACGTATTTTGATATATATATATTGCGTTTGTTTAATTGCAGAATTCAATTTCACGGTAAAAAAAAAAAAAAGGAAAGTCTCTTTCACTTTTCAAAAGTGAGGTTAGAATATAAAAATATTAATTTGTTATAACGTACTTTAATATATTGCGCTTGTTTATTTGCAGGATTCAATTTCACGGTAAAAAAAAAAAAAAGAAAAAAACAGTCTCTTTCTCTTTTCAAAAGTGAGGTTAGAATATAAAGATCCGCTTGTTAAGCCGCTAAATAATAATTTTATTGGAAACAAATAATTTTTGACTTCGACGAGTCTCCAACTAATCAAAACTTGCTCAATTATAAAAAGCAACGCGCGCAATTTCTCAAAATGGAACAACCAGCAAATTTCCCTCAATTTTTGTCTCTACCCCCCCCCCCCCCCCCGTACTCCTGAAACCACTCTACACACGCTAACTGCCAACACTAATAACCAACGAACGACATACAACGCTTCAGAACCACGATGCATCATCAAACTGTAGAATCGGATGAAAAAAAAAAAAATTCCCCATCCGCGTCAGTTGAAATTCCAGGAAGTCCACTCGAATAAATTCATCACACATCAAAGCACCAGTCGTCATTAAACTACGAAACATTGCTTCCTCTCTAACCACGTTTCACCCCATGTTTGCACGTTAATGAGCGCTAATATGTGTATGTGTGTGTGTGTATATATATATATATATATATATATATATTTTCATTTGTGTAATGAGACTCGAGTGTCGCTGAGAAAATGCAACCGTGTTTTCAGTTAAATCTGTCCCTCCACGAAAGCACGCACAACCCAAGAAAGGTGAATTTAATAAACGTATGCCGGCTTGATTTTAGAGAGTTTAGATCCGAAGTGTCGGCAGTTGCTCTTCTTTTTTCACTGGTGACGAAGGATGAGTCTGTAAAGTGAATGATCTAATTCACGAAAGTTGGAGAAAATAACAGTAGTCACGAATTTATGGTGAGGCAATTGCCTTTCGGGTGCAAGAAGAAAAACTAGTAATCCTACGAATTAACGAAATGCGGTAAAAGGTGTCTCTGAAGTCTAGAACTCTACAGAGTTTTAAGTGTAATACTCAAAAAACAACAGAGAAATTACATGGTACGTATCGCAAATCCTCGAAACTAATCTGAAATTAAACAGCAATTCTTCAGTTATTAGATCTTGATGAATGAATGAGGTCTCTACCTTAGGTCCTAACCCAAACCTTGTGCGAATATGTTCGATTTTCTTACTTCAGTTTGGATTTAAGGGACGTAAAAGGGATGGGTAATGAGAATGATGGAAATGGGAGGAGACTGGTAGAGTAATTTAATATTCGAAACGGTTTCCTAGGTAATTTTAGGCGGCACAGTTGTATTGAGAATGACGGGTGTATGCATGTGCGCGCGAAGGCCTGTGGAGGCACGAGGAAGCACGAGGAAATAGAGGGAGAGTTGGAGTATTAATGGGGGGGATTTTGGTTGTTGCGGAAGTGAAGTGTGTGGGGACGGAGGTGGTTGAAATGAAATATTGGAATTGATATAGAATTGAAATATTGTTGGAATGTGGTGGCGATGGAAACGATAAAATATCGGGAAGGCAATAGAACTGGAATTAAAATATTCCCAATTGCATACCAGCATCGAAATAATAAGAGATTAAAGATGCACTCTCTCTCGCTGTAAAGCATTCTAATAAATTTAATAAATTTTGGGAGGGAAAAAGACACTAAAGTGTGAGAGTTTTCGAATATTTCGAATTCAAATACAATGGAATATAAACTGTAAAAAAGAAAAAAAGATTCGAAATCACAATGAGATTGAAACACTAACATCGCACGATATATAGATACGAATATTCAAATGTTCGTTGGAATGAAATTGATTCATTGATATTCAAAGTGTAATAGAATCGAAAAACTAAAATATTCCCGATTTGAAATATTCAGAATCTCGATAAAATACTTTTGGCATTTGAGATGAAAATCACAATTAATAAAACAAGACGAACAATTGCACGGTAGCGTTCACAAAGATTCCACACTGGTCACTGAGATAGCAGGAATACTCGAGCAATGGCTAAACATATCCAGATATCCGATGAATAATACCGAATTTCGGAGACAGAGGTACGTTGGAGGAAAGCAAGAGCAGTTAGCGACCGGAAGTTCCTGACACACAGCCACTAGGATGTCCAGCTTCTTCGAATTCCTGATCAAAGCGATTTTATGCATGCGGGTCAAGAATTTCATGACTGTATACTTGATGGCTCGCGGACTGCAATTAACCCTGTTTCAGTCCGAAGTTAATATATAGGATGAGCGATATAAAGGCTTTACTTAAAAAAAAAAAAAAAAAAAAAAAAGAAAAGAGAAGACTATTTCCTCAACAAGTCTCCCGCGCTCTTTCACTTTCTTCGGGATGTTTTCACGGTTGTTAGGCTATCAGATTAAAAGAAAGAAATGTCTCCCGGTTGCTTGTTATCCTTTCGTTAAAAATGTCATACTAGTTCTTTATATTAAGAACCACATTCTCTCACGCGACCTGGTCTCTCTTCAATCTTTCGCTCCGCGATTTTCCTTTTCATCTTTAAACATTAATTAATTGCTGTGAAGAATTGAACGTTATTTGTTAAATATTAATAAAACATTAGTTATCGTGTCTTGTGTCTAATTTGAAGTATTGTACTGTTACGACACATTGTAGAAAATTTGAATTCCCTCTCAAATGAAAATTATAATTCGTACCATGGTGTATGACTCGATATTACGTATAAAATGAAAATGTAGAATCGATCAGAAGAGATCTTTAGTATTAATATTCAGTTATCTATAGTGTTACGTAAAATATTTAATATTTATCATCCTATTTACTTGTATCTTTGCAAGTGAATGTGTTCAGTGATCAAAACAACGAAGACGTAGCAATTTATAATATTGCATGATGTTTCAGAAGTTTCTTTTCGTTTCTTAAAATTGATATGGCTGTTAGAAGAGACGCTTTTAGGGGACGTGGTCCCCACTGAAATGTTATAGCCTGTAAGTTATACGTGCATGAATAACAAAACAGTGAAATTGAAATTTTGTCATAGGCTCGTATTTCACACGTCGCAATGTTATAAATATTTTACTGCGAATATCATTATTTAGAAGCACAGGAGAAAAAGATAGGAGACGAGCTTACAGTAATAAAATATTAGAAGATTGATTAAACAATCAATTCTAACGTTCAAATCAGATTTGCAACAAAATGTAAATGTAAATTCGAGTGAAAATAAACTGAAGAATAATTACACTCCTGTCCCACAATTTTTATTTCCTAAACTTCTATTCTAAGATATATAACAATATATATAATATATAATACATTATAAAATTAAGCTTAATAAAATTAATGTTTATTTCATATCATAAAAGTATATTAAAACACAAAATTAGGAATAACATAAATTGATAATCAAAATTCGAATGCACACTCAAATTCATCATCGGGGTATTAATATTTTATTGAAGCAGAAATGGAAGAAGATTTTCACGTCCTGGGCACAAAGGATTTCGATTGGCACTCAGTGTCTCCCTCGCGTCGCGCAGAAATTTCCTCAGGAACGAAAATTATTCGCCCGATGTACGAACACCAGTCACGACGCTCGCAGGGATCTCTATGCTCTACTGTTTTCGGGCTGTCCTAAGCCAGCCAATTTACGGCGCAAACATTAAAGTCGTCATAAAGTAGGCGGCAGTCTTAAGGCGCTATAAATCGCTCCAGCCATATCCTTCTCACGTCGCGGCCCGTCTGTCGGAGCGTCTTCCTCTCGTTCCTCCGGTTCTCCACGATTTTGAGAAGAGGAATTTCTACGAGCAGAAAGAACTGACTATCTCGATTGAATTTGCAAAAAAGAAAAAATTGTCACGATGTTCCTCCGCGTCGACTGCTTTTATTTTATCCCTTTCTTATTTATCGCGCAATATTCCTCTCGAAACAGATTGCCGCGGCCCGCGGAAAATTTCGAACGTAATGGAGACGAATGCTGCACATTTGGCGTCTGTCCTTGCGTTATGTTTCATTATCGGAGGCCTCCACTTTACGGACAGATAATTCAAATATACACACGGACGGGTAATTGCGATCGATGTGTCTGCGTTTTAATAAAGGCCTCGTAATTCTGGAAATTGCGGCAACGCGACAAAAATAGATTTCGCGTCGTACGTAATTTATGCACGGATATATTTATCGATGGCGAGTATTATATATTTTATATTATATATTATATATATTGTTATATTTTATTATATTATATATAATATTATATTATATATTATATATTGTATTATGTATTATGTATTATATATAATACATTGTATTTGTATTCTCGAACTGTATCAACTTGAGGCGATGAAGAAACTAAAATCTACGTGGTAAATTATTTTACCTATCAACACACACACACACATTAAACTAAAGTATAAAAATCAGAGTGTAAGGAATCTGTGATTTGAACAGTGTAAAATTATAAATTGGTCATTTCGATCAAGTGTTGTCCCAGTGTTAAATATTACAAAGGCTATCGCGCACTATGGCGTCCCCAAACTTCACGCGAACGCACAGAAAAGTTCGCCATCTTGATTCAGTCAAGCTTCCTCCATTTCGCGCGCGCGTATGAAAAATCGGCCGGTCTTTTGTCGCCCGGGCCCGATATCGAATCTCAACGCGGCGTGATGAATCGCTGCGCGGAATAACTCGGCTCGGTCGACGCGAGAGAAACGGGGGATGCTGATAAGCCCGCCACCTCGGCTTCAATGCACAAAGAAACGCGGACGGATGTTCGACACGGACGAAACTTGGGAACAGCGACGATACTAAACAGCGCCAGTTGGATTTTCTCTTTCAGTCGTCGTCGGGCTGGTTCCGTTTCCATCTCGACGCGACGACGAGAGAACAGCAGCATCGAAGTTAGCCAGATATCGAAACGAGTTCGCGTCAGTTGTCAGTTTTCCTCGATTCGATAATTCGACGTTTGGAAAATGTTTTGGTTTTCTATTCGTTAATATCACGTTATATCTAGGTTGATAGAAAGAGGATAACTAAAAAAAGTATCACTTCTTTCGGATTTTGAAATTGTCTAACATCACCTATTAACCTCTTGCGCTGGCAGCTTATTCGCGGACCGTAACGAGTGACCCGTGTACAACAATACGTCGCTTTCTTCTTCTTTCGAACTCGTCGGTATAATATCACTGGATAGAAAATTATTACATTTAAATATACCTGGGACCGAGAAAATGTTGCAATTTGGGACAAAAAAAATTCTCAACGTGCGTCGTCGTACAACAGTATCCTTTCACACGCTTCGCGTGATGATCTGTGCTCGATAAAATAACGAAAGAACAAATTTTTCTTTTTTTTTTTTCTTTTTACAGAAAAATTTCACATTCCAGATAGTTCGACTAACTAGTTTGTTCGACGAACGAAGCCGACACGAGGCCAACAGGGGGTTTTTAGGTCTCCGGGTGGGATAGAGGTCGGTATCGGGAGGTCGGGACGTGAGCGCACACGTGACGAGGCTAACTAGCACGGTACGTGTGACGGTATAAACATCCTGGGTGTTCCGTGATGAATACCGGCCGGTAATTACCGAATGGTAATTACGCTAAAATGATAATGACGCCGCTCGCAGCGGTACCGGTAGCATGTTTGCCAAACTATTCTATAATTTTACTACGACCGCGTTGCGTAGCATCGTGCAGCATCGCCGTGCAGCTAGGCTTGCGCGCAAGCCCGCGCGCAGCTTATTAATAACAACCAATGATAATAACAATAATAATAATAATAATCGTCAACAGAACGAGCAACGGCACGACTGGTAATACCATCGATTCCGTAGGTTTACGCGCGGTTTTAAACCCGCGGTTCGGTGATTTAACGACCACGTATCGGCGAATCCCGGATTCGCCGAGCTATCCGCGGATCCGTGCCCGATTTTTCGCCTGCCACGTCGCGTTCCCATAAACTGTTCGGCAATTTTGTAAATTCTTTTGTCCATTTACGTAACTCGTTTTCAAAAATGACAGTACACCTAGCGACGATCATTTTACATTCAACATTATACGTTCGTGACGGATCGGTTTGAACATGAAACTCTCGATCTAAATCGAGAGGAAATATAAGTAAATATATATCGAAAAAAATTTTGAATCCTTCTAATTAATTTTAATATTCTCAGGTATGTTATACTACAAAGCATGATACCAGTCATCAAATTGATCTCGTCACTATGTACTTGTAATGTAACTGCAGTAGAATTCCATTTAGGCGAACTTGACTGGTGATTATGTACGATAATTTATGTAACTGGAGTTTGTACAATAAAAGTCTATTGAGTTTTCCTTCAACTAGTGATTCTTCGTTTGTATAATAACGCGTAGCTAGACTCCACCAACATTCAATGATCGAGCTCATTTAATCGGATATTGATTAAAATTTTGATTCAAATCTTTCAGACTAGTAATCATTTATTCCAACTACAATCAAGTTTATGAAATTCTATTTTACTTATAGGTTATGTTATAGCCTATAGCTTATAACTATAGCTTGTTATAGCTTATATAGCTTTAGTTATTTTATTTTACTTATAGGTTAAATTCTATTTTAATTATAGGTTATGTTAAATGTTTCAGACTAGTAATCATTTATTCCAACTACAGTCAAGTTTATGAAATTCTATTTTACTTATAGGTTATGTTAAATGTTTCAGACTAGTAATCATGTATTCCAACTACAGTCAAGTTTATGAAATTCTATTTTACTTATAGGTTATGTTAAATGTTTCAGACTAGTAATCATTTATTCCAACTACAGTCAAGTTTACGAAATTCTATTTTACTTATAGGTTATGTTAAATGCTATCTACATATATTATGTGAATATAACTCTATAATGCAGTTACTATAGTATCCAGTTGACATTATTGCAGAATCGTAATTTATTAGTAATAACAATAATAATAATACTAACGATCCAATAAGAATCATTGTTATACGTAATTATTTATAGGCTAAATTTTATTTTAATTATAGGTTATGTTAAATGTTTCAGACTAGTAATCATGTATTCCAACTACAGTCAAGTTTATGAAATTCTATTTTACTTATAGGTTATGTTAAATGTTTCAGACTAGTAATCATTTATTCCAACTACAGTCAAGTTTACGAAATTCTATTTTACTTATAGGTTATGTTAAATGCTATCTACATATATTATGTGAATATAACTCTATAATGCAGTTACTATAGTATTCAGTTGGCATTATTGCAGAATTGTAATTTATTAGTAATAACAACAATAATAATAACAATAATAATAATACTAACGATCCAATAACGATCATTGTTATACGTAATTCACAAGTCTATGCATGTTTCAAACTCGCGGTTTAGTGATTTGACACTTTAAGCCACAGAGCTTTAGAATAACAGAATTATCCAATTGTGTTTTTTACTGTGAAATCTGATAAAGTACTTTCAGTTTAATTGTCTGATATGGGAATTTTATTTTGTACACGAGAACCACGTTTAAAATAAAATTTTATTAATTATGTAAAAATACCGGCAACAAAAATTCGATGAAAAAAAAAACGACAAAGAAAGGACGAAAGAGAATGAGGTACGACTCCTTCGCAATGACTGACGGAAAAACCATCCATGCATTAATCAGCTTGGAATTCTTTATAAAAATATAAAAAGTTAAAATATATGCATACAAGCATTACTATTTTTTTTTTCTTTCTTTCTTTTTATAATACTTCTAACATTCGAGCTTCACGAATAATGCGTAAAGAAAAAATACGATTCTATTTTAAAAAATGCAGATGATCTTGAGAGACGCTTTTACATAGAAGTTCAAGTTTCGCTCGGAAACAGTTTCCACAACAACGAATACATTTCAAGACAATTCCGCGGAATTAAACGTTCGAAATGGGACACCCAATACAATTCGAAATACAAAATTTCACGACCCAAACGGGAACATTTTCCGTACGACCATCGATCCCACGGAATTAACAATCGCGTTATCCCGGTCGCTCAGTTATCATCGAGCCCGATTCTTCGTCCGTATTCTATAATTCCAAATAATCGCGTCATTCTATAATTTCGCCACGCTCGCGTTCCGTCCATTTACGTCCATTTAGTCCTATTTACACGCTCGCGACTTACTAACAACACCGGCAACAACAACATAATAATAATGACCATCATCGCCGATAGAGCGAATAACGGCACCGACGACTGTAATACCATCGATTTCGTGCGTTTCATGCGTGTTTCGGGCCCGCGGTTTCGCGATTTAAGCGGAGTTATCGCCGGGGCGCTCGATTTTTCTCCGTGTCACCAGAATCAACGCGTAGCTGCGTCCTATCGTGTCGAGAGAGAGAGAGAGAGAGAGAGAGAGAAAGAGAGCACGCCCAATTGAATTCGTTCGTTCGTTTGTTCGACCGTGCGAGAATAGAATTTGCGCGATTGTTAATTTCCATAAGCGGCCGGTAAATACTTGGAGCGGGGAGACACGCCACGCGTCTGGTTTTTCACTGAGGGGGGAGGGGGGGCTGTGAGAAGGTGGCCGCGCGCGAGCGACAGGCTTGTACTCCAGCAGCGTGGCCGTAATGTCGCAAATGGGATGATAATAATTATTACAGAAACGAGCACTTTGCGGTGAACAACGGTGATCGTGGTAAAACATTAATGATAATGGCATCGTTTTCTGGAAATTGCCGTGGCAGCGAGGCCGCGCGCGCTCCCCCTCCCCCCTACGGTAATTTCGTATGGTCCGAGATGCTTAACGTCCGTTCCACTTGATAATTCGCGCGGGGGGGAGGAGGGGGAGGGGGCCAATTTCACGCGTTTCGTCAATGCTGTCATACCTAACTGACTTCCAACCTTCCCTTAATTTTCGTAACCATGTCTCGGTCGTCGTTAAGAATACGTTTGCACCGTATCCATCAGAGAATATACATCGCGCGGTTCTAGTCTGCGCGGACCATAACGAGTGACCGAATCGTATACAATAAATTTGTCGTTTTCATTTTCTTTTCTTGAACTCGTCGATACGACATCGCTACCGGGTTAGAAATTACTGAGAAGTAAATTCATTACTCGTTCCGCCCATTTTGTTTTCACTTAAATATTATTTAAAACTGAGGAGGTATTACAATTTTGAAACAAAAATGTTCCAGCGCAAGTGGTTAAATATAGACATTCAGTGTCTTTTTTTTTTTTAGATGAATTTTCTGTTTATTTATTGGCTTTGTTATTGCTATTGAAAATAGTTTTTTTTCGAATCTTTCGAGTCCTTTTTCCATTTGAGAGGTGTTTTCCGTTTAACAATAATTTTTCTTCGTGTTCAATAATTGCTCGAGTTCTGCGAATTTTCAATTTCCGAATACAAAGAAAAGGCAATCAGGAATTGATTTGTACACCTAACATTTACCATTCTTATCACTTCTCTTCAGGATTCGACCCAGTTACGATGAAACATTTCAAGTTTCCATTCTCCCTATTTCTCGTTTGCTTTTCTTTGTGTTTCCTCTGTTTTACTAGAAATTCTACAATATGCACCGACAACGAATAACGAAGGAGATGCTGAAAAATGATTCAAAAATATTGGAAGAAAAATACGGAAAAAAATTGAAAAATACTGGAAATAACACGAAAAAGGGCAATCTTTTGAAGAGCAGGGAATCTTCGAATGTTACAGATTTTAGTATAACGGAAATTTGCGTCTGATGTTTACAGGAAATCCAACCTTTGCAAGAAAAATGACGTTTGTGACTCAAGAAACGCAAGTTCTTCATCAAGAAAATCTTCATCTATATTCATAATTCGGTCGATAGAGAGTAATTGCGCAACTCATCCTGATTTATGTGACACTGTGCCATAAGTTTCTACGGAAACTTGGACACCATTTAAATAATATTCATATTTCAGAAATGACACATCGTTCTATTTAGCCAAAACGTCATTTAAAATAACTGTGCGTTAATTTACTCGAAGACGAGCTTTGCCATCAAGCTTCAAGTTTCTATTCAAGAACTATTTCGTTCTTTCGATAAATCGTTCGTCAAGCCTATTTTACCAGAAATACACTCGTGTTTTTTCAAAAATATTACTCATTTCCGACACTATTATCTTCTATTATTAAGTACATAGATGAACAATCTTCGAGTATTATGCTCAAAAAAGAAAATCGCCACGGCTTATATATGTGCACATGTAAGCTCAGGGAAAAAGTTAAATTTGTAGGATGGACAGAATTTACGACCAACTACAACCATTGTGCGGCGTGAATATGATACTTTTGTTGTTCGTAAAGCTCTAAGCTCGAGCAGCTAGCTCCACGGTACGGTTATCAGGTGACGGCTATCGCTGGAACAAAATTTACGCGGAACAGCTCTTAACGAAGGGTCGAAACGAGCCGTCACGTCATGTTACGTCGCGTCGCATCGACGATGCAATTTCGCGGGACAATCGTCGCACGACGAACCATCAATGACATCGAAGGACCGGTGAGCACAAACGCGACTAATTGGAACGGTGTCCCTGGCCAAAGTTCACCGGGGCAACGCCGCTGGAAGGGAGAAAATGAAGGGGACACCGGGTGATGATATCCGTTTATAAAAGCTTTTGTAAGCAAGAAGACAGCGGCCAGCCTATTATGCAAGGCGGTCTGTAATTAAATTGGTAATTAAATTACAACCTGACCAGCGTCGATCGATTATTTGCGTAACCCCCCCTCTCGTGTGACGTCGCGACCAGACGGATTTTGAACGTTATCAACGTTCCCCTGTGCCTCTCCTCCGACAATCGCATCCTCTGTCCCACCCCCGCTGTGATGATGTCCCATCTCGTCCTCCGTCTCGCTGACTTTCCATTTGAGATTCTCATTCCCGGCACGATAACGGCCAGGTAACCGTGACAGTGCCGTCGACGAACGAACCTCCGCGAAGGGAGCTTCGTGGTTTAATTATCTTCGCCTTCGTCGTGGAAGCTGCGACGACTAAGACACCGTAGGTTTCGCCACGGCACGACGACGTGACACCGTTTCTAATTCTCTCTACCACCTCCCACCGTCTTCCGCTGCCTCCTCTGCCAGCCGATTACATTATTAATATCAACGCCCAGGCGTCGAGCCTGGCGTCCCGGAGTTTTTCTGCAGTGGCGCGCAATTTAAATGTATATGCGAGCACGCGGGGAATCCAAAATTGTTTGAGGGAGTAAATCTTGATGAGGGGGCGTCACTTCGTTCTCTTCGGGATCGAAGTCGCGACGTACGAATAAATAAAAAGAGAAGAAAATGAACGAGCGAAGGAATATCAGGGGGGGGAGGTTGGGAAAAGCGATTGGTCGAAACGGCGCGGTGATAAAGAATTGATCAGATAGCCGTGGCGGGGGATCCGTGGCCGGACCTTTTAGTTTGTCGGACGAACGCCCTTACCAATTGCGCAATCTAGATCGTCGGGGGATATTTCCGGCCTAATCTTTGAAAATGGCTACCGCCTACGGCTCGACCGATCTGATAAATGCCGGCCTGTTCTCGGCCACGCACGCCGGAATCGATCTCCGTGAAATCAGCGTAAAAATCGTGGTGTATCGTCCTTCTACCTAAACTACGTCCTCCCCCCGATCCTAACTTTCAGTGAAGCTTTCCACTGAAAAATGTATCGCTCGGTGTGTACGGGAATTAACAAGTTCGAGTCCAGTGGATTTTGAAAAGACTGTCCCCAATGATCGACGATATTTTTTTTAGAATTAATAGTGAGAATAGGAACGTATTTTAATATAATATAACATAATATATATATATGTGTGTGTGTGTGTGTGTTAAATATGTTTTATATTATAATTAATATAATTATGTTGTATATTATATATATCACATTAATATACATATATATTAATATATATTGTATATTAACATACATTTTATATATTTTAATGTAATTTTTTTTAATATTATGTACGCCGTAAAACTATAACACAATTATTAATCATTCTGTTATTAAGAGTATTATTCAATTTTTCCAGTTTCAAATACTCGCGCTACGATTATTAGAAGGACATGTAAATAGAAAAACAATTTTGTCAGTATTTTACAAAAAAGTCACGTAACGTTACATTAACAGATACAATGATATTTATGACAAACGTCTAGCCATTACAACTCTCATAAATATAAACCGTAATAAATAATACTCTAGATTTTTATAATGCTGTAACAAAAAAAAAAAAAAGAAGAAAAACACTTTCCTGAACATAAGCATGGTTTTCTCGCACAGATATTGCAAACATAATTTATGTCTTTCCGTGCTCCACCAGCGTTGCGTTGTGTGCTTCATTTTCTTTTCAGTAATTTTTTATATGATGCTAAAAGCAACCTCTATGCAATGCTTTAGAAATCTTATTTTAGTAGACATGAGTTGACCTCATTAATGGAGTGACTTTTGCAGCTTAAAAATAATGTTACAGTTTAGTGATACTGTGCAGTCTTGGTCAATAACACAGGTCAACATTAAGTATACAAATTAATCACTTTTGTCAATTGTAACTTTCGAATCAATTCATTATTTCAGCGTTCTGTATAATTATATGTTACAAAGTTGAACACAATTTCTTCCCGTTTCGATTAAAAAATTAATCAATGCCAAATAGCACAAAAATTATTTATATGGGTAATATAAGAGAACAATTGCATTGAAACTGAACGTATAACAATTCATATTTTGTGAAATCGATGCTTGTTTTGAAGTGTAAAATACTGAAATTCTTCTTTCTAGTCATTTATCAAATCTTACAACTTTTTAACCAGATACGTCTATTTAAATTAACAAGGCAGTATGTTACGGGGGATTGATTATTATACAACTTCGTTGTTCGCTTGCTTAGCACTTGTTTTGATCGCTTGAGCATTTTAAAACAAAGTCGAATAACTGGCAGCTCTTGCCCCTCCTGATCACTAGCGCTATTCCCTCCACTGCATTGATTTTTCCAGTTGCTTAGGTAAAGAAATCAACAGACTGAGGAAGTGAGAGCTGATACACGGCGAGGAAATTTCAATCTAGCAGAGAGATCCTTTTTGACTACCTAAAGTGCTACCTATTTTTAGAGAAAGAATTCAATACACAGTAATTTTTCTAAACGACAAGTCAATGAAAGAAAGTTGGCCGCAAATTAATCTACAATAGTATAGTACTCTTAGTATAGTATACTAATACTATACTAACTTATAGTATGGTGATATCTTAATACTATATCAACTTAGTATAGTATACTATTACTGTACTTACTTGGTACAGTATACTATTACTGTATTTACTTGGTAGAGTATACTATTACTATACTTACTTGGTACAGTATACTATTACTGCACTTACTTGGTACAGTATCCTATTACTGTACTTGGTACAGTATACTATTACCGTACTTACTTGATACAGTATAGTATTACTGTACTTGGTACAGTATACTATTACTGTATTTAATTGGTACAGTATACTATTACTGTACTTACTTGGTACAGTATACTATTACTGCACTTACTTGGTACAGTATCCTATTACTGTACTTGGTACAGTATACTATTACCGTACTTACTTGATACAGTATAGTATTACTGTACTTGGTACAGTATACTATTACTGTATTTAATTGGTACAGTATCCTATTACTGTACTTAATTGGTACAGTATACTATTACTGTACTTAGTACAGTATATTACTGTACTTACTCAGTACAGTATACTATTACTGTACTTACTTGGTACAGTATCCTATTACTGTACTTACTTAGTATAATATACTATTACTGTACTTGGTACAGTATACTATTACTGTATTTGGTACAGTATACTATTACTGTACTTACTTGGTACAGTATACTATTACTGTACTTACTTGGTACAGTATACTATTACTGTACTTACTTGGTACAGTATACCATTACTGTACTTGCTTGGTACAGTATACTACTACTGTACTTACTTAATACAGTATATCACTACTGTACTTAGTATAGTATGCCACTACTGTACTTAGTATAGTAATATCTTCAGTATAGTAATCTTGCTCCAAATAATTCAACAGAAAGTATTTCGCGTAAAAATGGCAAACAAAAACATGCATCGAACAACAGACAAAAGGTGGAAAGACGGGGGATAGCTTCTTCCAATCGAGAAGCTTTTACAAGCTTTCGTCACGTCCGATCGGCAAATGGCGTTTCTGCGAACGATAATAAGCGCGATGGGTTTCGGCGTGAGTGGGCGTATCGACGCACGCTTACCTGATTTGATTTCCACAATTTCCTGGGAAGCCGGCGAATTGTCATGCGGAACGCGAGTCGAGCTATAATTTAGAGCGTGCGTCGGCGAGAGAGCGCGAGACCCCGGAGGGGATGAGAAGGGTCAGCTCGTGACGGGCAGCGGGACGACCGTGCACAGAAGAGAAAGAGAGAACGAGAGAGACAGAGCAAGAGAGAGTGAAACGAGGCTGGGTTGACAGTGCGAGCGGGTGGAAAGTGGGAAGCGGTAGAGCGGAAAATAATGCAGCGTGCAGAATTACAAATTACACGCTACAGAAGCACTAGGTTCCCTCCCTAGTAGTAGTGGAAGAGGGTCTCTGTTCGTTCCGTTGATTACACAAACAACATTCGTCGCCCGTGCACGCTAGGCTGGAGAGAAAGAGAGCCAGAGAGAGAGAGACACTCTCTCTGTAGAAGAGACTGCAGGGAAATAAGGGTCGAGGGAGGGGGC